CCCGCCAATGTAGTCAATTTTGAACTCTCCCACCACGATCACAGGTGACAGACTTGACTTGGTTTGGTTAGGTTCAACAATGTTGAAGTGCCCTTATTGACCTGGGGGGTGTCAGATTCATTGTACAGAAGTAATAAAGGAGATAAAGTTAGCTCAATATAAAGAAATGGTTTAAGAAAACCAGAGGTACTCAAGAGAGGAATGGGAGGTATTGTTCAGCAAAACTAGATGCCACATGGCAGATACGCTCAAGAAGGAACCAGACAGGTAGTTTCCACAATGCTTACAGATGCTTGGGCACTGTGCAGTACTGTCTAAGAATAGAAAACCGGGGGTCCCACCTATTCGGATCTGTTTTTATTGGATTTCTGTATATGAAACGCTGACTAAGAAGGCAATTTAGCAGCTACTTTTCTTCAAATTTATGCTCAATTGTGCTTTAAAATGAAAGGCTGTGTCTAGAGCGCCTGTTTATCTGTAGAATAACCAAAGGACACTGTTACAGATAACTCCTCACTGGCATAAAAGTTTATCAGAACATTTGAAATAAACCTCCAAATGAGCCAGTGTGTCTAGGAATTACTGGCTTTGCACAAACATTTAAATGAACTCCCTAAATCTCTCTGAACATTGGTTTTCTATCTGTAAAAGACAATGATAGAGTGTTCCTTCCTCAAAGGCTCATCAGGAGGAACTAAAGAGACGAAGAAAACTTAGTACATTTGCCAGCGGTGTGCTTGCAGAACCCACAAATGTTCGTTATTGTTCATTCTTGGTTGTGTGTGTTTTTTCTAACAGCTTTGGGATCCCAGAACAAAACAATACATTTTGTGACTGAGTTTATCCTCCTGGGTTTCAGTGGCCAAGGGGAGATGCAGAGCTTCTTCTTCTCTTCAATTCTAGTTCTCTATCTCCTGACCTTGCTGGGAAACGGAGCCATTGTCTGTGCAGTGAAATGGGATAGAAGGCTCCACACACCCATGTACATCTTCCTGGGAAACTTTGCCTTTTTGGAGATATGGTATGTTTCTTCCACTGTCCCAAACATGTTGATCAACATCCTCTCTGAGACTAAGACCATCTCCTTCTCTGCCTGTTTCCTCCAATTCTATTTCTTCTTTTCACTTGGTACAACAGAGTGTTTCTTCCTATCAGTTATGGCTTATGATCGGTACCTGGCCATCTGTCGCCCACTGCACTACCCCTCCATCATGACTGGGAAGTTCTGTGTAATCCTGATCTGTGCCTGCTGGCTGAGTGGATTCCTCTGTTATCCAGTCCCAATTGTCCTCATCTCCCAACTTCCTTTCTGTGGCCCTAACATCATCGACCACTTTGTATGTGACCCAGGCCCATTGTTTGCCCTGGTCTGTGTCCCTGCTCCTTCCACTGAACTTCTCTGTTATACCTTCAACTCAATGATTATCTTTGGGCCCTTCCTCTCCATCTTGGGATCCTACACTCTAGTGCTCAGAGCTGTGCTTCGGGTTCCTTCTGGTGCCGGTCGAACGAAAGCTTTCTCCACCTGTGGATCCCACTTAACGGTGGTGTCTCTGTTCTATGGAACCCTTATGATGATGTATGTGAACCCAACATCAGGAAACCCAGCAGGAATGCACAAGATCATCACTCTGATTTACTCAGCCGTGACCCCCCTCTTAAACCCCCTTATCTATAGTCTCCGAAACAAAGACATGAAAGATGCCATAAAGAAAGTCCTGGCTTTAGCCACTAGCCGAAACTGAGACAAATGGGCCACTTTTTTAAGATGCGAAAGAATTATTTTTTTATTCTACAGATAAATGGGGTCTACTGTGATATTGCCATATATCCTCTGAACTGATCAGGACCATCCACTTTTGTATGTTGCCGTCTACCCTACACCCTTCCTGGTCTCTACTAATCCCTCTGCTTCTTTCATATCAACATCTTTAGTTTCCACATATGAGAAAGAACATGTGATACGTGGCTTTCTGTGTTTGGCTTATCACCCAGTTTTATCCACTTGTTGCAAGTGATAGGATTTCATTTCTCTTCATGGATGAACAATCTTATATAATATTTTCTTTATGCATTCCCCCATTGACAGGGACCAAGGCTGATTTTATACCTTAACAAATAGTGCCACAGTACTATGTGGGCATAAATCTGTCTCTGTTGTATGCAGCCTTGATTTTGTTGGATCTATTTCCAGCAGTGGATCATGTGGTAGTTCTAATTTTAGCTTTCTGAGGAATTTCCATACGTTTTCCATACTGGTTGTACTAATTTACATTCTAAATGGGTCAATTCTAACTTCTGTGTGTATAATGACAATGAAGAATTGCTTCAGGTAAGTGTGTTCTAACTCACATTTAAATAGAGGAAGAGACTCGTCTTTCACAGTTCCTTGACAGCTCAAATTCAGCTCGTGGATGGCAAATTCTCATAAAACTATTCTCATACCTCCGAGTCTTAGAGATAAATAAAAGCCTTTCCTCCCTGACTCCTGAGACTGCTTCACTCTCCTACTGATCCACTGGGGACGCCTTGCCCTCCATCAGTCTCCTCATTTTATCTCAACACATTTACTTCCAAATGGGATTTCTTTTTAAGAGTTATATAAGTATTTTGCCTGTATGTATGTATGTGCACCACATGGGTGCCTGGTGCCTACAGAGGTCAGAAGAGGGTGTGTGTCAGATCCCCTAGAACTGGAGTTACAAGGGGTTGTGAGCCACCATGTAGGTGCTGGGAACCAAAACTGAGTCCTCTGTAATTGCAAGTGCTCTTAGCCACTGAGCAACCTCCCCAGCCCCTCCCCAGGAGGTTTATTCCTAGTACATCCTTCCCATATCAATTTGACAATCCCAATGTAATGAATAATATGAAATAATAATTATTATTATTATAAATAATACTGGAATATTTGATATTGAATATATTTAATACTGAAATAATTATAATTATTGTAAAAAATAATACTCGAATATTTCCATTTAATGCTGAGGTTTCCAAGTCAGACAGAGAGTAACATGTGCCTCTCAGAAAACTAGAGTACAAAATCCCAGTCAGAAAAGTATTTAGAGAAAATTAAGCCAAGAACATGTTTCATTTTTGTGCCCAAAACTTATACTGAAACAAGGTAAGAGACAAGTTGACCTAAAACGAAAGTATGCCTGTCAGTTATGGTGAAATCAGGAGTGAAAGAAGATGGGCCTTCAGTGCAGGTTAAGAGAAATGCCCAGCACACTTCCACCAAATCATGTCCGGCAACAGTGCTCAGAGGACATGGGTCATTTGGGGATCTTTTTTATAAAAAATAAATTATTTATTGAGAATTTCATACATGCATAT